TTGACGGAAGTTAGGGTTTTACCTTTTTGGATTTTTTTCTCTTCTTCTACTGGTCGTTCTTCCTCATTAGAGTTCTTATTGTGATCACGAGAAATCCTTCAACATCTTGTTTGAGCCCTCTTACAATTGGGCATGGGATGCGTATGTAGAATGCTGTAGATAGGTTGGTTTTGGTATTGTTTTACGGATTTTTGGTAATAATTTGATAGAGGATAACTCTTAGGTTCCTGTTTCCATTTCGGTATTCGTCACTTCTCCTCCTAATTCTTAAGTATATACCTGAAATAGTTATTGGTCTTTGCTGGTGTCTGAATTTCTGGATTTGGGATTGGATTTCATTCTACGTTTTCTTCTGTTATTCTGCTAGCTCTCGTATTATTGTTGCAAAATTATGTTTTTCTTTTATCTGGGTGACTAGTTCGAATAGTTGTGTTAATGTTTTCGTCATTGTTTCGGTTCGTTAAAGTATTTCTTTTGCTCAGATCCATTTCACGAGGTTAAGAGGAAGAAAGACAGGAAGAAAGAGGTAACGTCGCAAATACTTGTTCTGGTATCTTGTTCCCTGTTCTTATCTCTCTGAACTTTTGTGCCATTATGAAAAAGGGTGTTGTACACCTCTGTCTTGTATAACCTCTGATTTTTTAGGGCATGTCCTTTGGCTTCAGGATCCAGTGTTTGTTGAGCCTGCCAACAGAAAGAAACCTCTTGAAAATGTTACCAGTGAAGTGAAAGTTCGTACACAGCCTGAACATAATGTTCGGAGAGGAGGCTTCAATAGGAATTTCTTACCCAGGAACGCTGCTCCCCGAAATGCATATCCCAGGAATCCTACCGCTGGTAATTTAGTGTGATGATAATATACTTGCCAAGTTGCCAGTTTCCTTCGTATGCCTGTGCTAAAATACTTCAAACCAATTTTAAGTTGTTTTTAGTGGTTCTTAAACATAATCTCTATAACGAGGGCATAAATCAGACTTGGTTGAATCCAGAAAAATATATGCTGGTCAAGGGAAAATAAAAGATATTGGCGTGTAAAGCATGTAATGTCTTTTCAACTAGAAATGTCTTTTTTTTTTGTCTGAATTTGTTTGTTTCATGTTAGTGCAGGACCCAACAGAGAGTTTCGTGTTGTTAGAGACAACAGGTCTAATCCAAATGTTGATGAAAAGTTGAAGCATCCTTCCGCCCAGTCTTCTGGATCAAATATTAGCAAAGTGGTGGCCACTGCTAACAAAAAAAGGTACGTTTCGTCAATTGTACTTTACCCTGTTGAAGCTGACTTGCCGTGTTTTGTTTATATACGTATGAAATAGCATGATATGATACTGTTTAGTGATTGTATTTTACTGCTATCATAAGGACTAAGGTCGCTTTAGCTGCGCTTTTCTATATATAAAGTAGGACTCTTTTAGACGATAAGATTATAAGGCATACATTAGTTTTGTGGCATTGGCTTTTGGTAGATGGAGACAGTAATGCTTATTATGTTCTACTTGGTAGGCATTACACTGCATTTTTCCTCAAACATGGTTACTTCATGGAAAACAGAAAAGCCCAGCGAGGATTTGTTATCTTATAATTTCGGGAAAAATCTATGCTTGACAAATGAGAAAAATAAGATTGCCGCTCTATTTTCTTTGTTTGCCAGCTCAACAGGTGGTTTAGGCAATCATCGCTCTTCTGGAGCTCAAGATTTTGCTGACGAGTGTAATGCACCAGCAGATGTCAGCCTCAGGGAGGCAGAAATTGCTCCTTTGCACCATCCCACTAGAAAAGAACACTCTGATGGAAAGCAGACAGCCCATGAAGTTACCTCGCCATCAACAAATTCAGTTCTTGGTGTATATTCGTCTTCCACTGATCCAGTTCATGTACCATCTCCTGTTTCTAGATCATCGCCTGTGGGAGCTATTAAACGTGAAGTAAGGGGTGCAGGTTTTGGTGGGAAACCTTCTGAAAATGTTGGTAAAGATCCATCTCCATCTGCTGGTTCTTTGCCAGGGTCTGCTATTCGAAAAATGGGGACTGCAAATGCATATCGACCGCCTTCCCCAACTTCAAAGATTGATCAACTCAGTCAAACTACTACTCGAGAGTCTGTTATGCCCAGCGGTGTGGAAAAGAATAGGCCTCTTTTGAACAGACAGCGTGGGAGTAGAGGAAGCCAACATGCTAGAACACAACAAGTTGGTGGCCATACAAAAGGTAGTTTATATACAAATATTTATGAATTGAATGGATGTTGTGCAATTTTGACTTGATTCCTTCTAAACATGATGCGTAAGGCGGCACTTTTTTTTTGTGAGTGTAGCTTTTGTTTTGGTCAATATAATCCCTTTTTGAAATATATTGTGAAGTCCTGTTGAAAAGCCATTTCTGGTCATGACTTATGATATTCTTGATCAACGTGTACTTAATGCAGGAGTCTCACAGAACAAGGAGTGGAAGCCTAAAGCAAATCAGAAACCTGTTGGTCAGAATCCTGGAGTAATTGCAACACCTACAAAGTCTCAGGCTCGTCGTCCTGTTGATAATTCTATAAACTTGGAATCAGAAGCTGCTAAGTTGCAAGATAAGCTTTCCCATATTCATATCAGTGAAAGTCACAATGTCATCATCCCAGATTATATTCGCGTCCCGGAGACTGACCGCTGTCAGCTAACTTTTGGTAGCTTTGTTCAAGAGTTTAATTCTTCAAGGAATTCAGCATCTGCTTTCCAGGAATCCTGCTCTTCCGAAGAACTTAAAGAATCTGATCCTAGGTAAGTTCTGACAGCTTGTGGTATTATTTGTTTTTGTACATTTCGGATAAAGTTTGAGATTTCTCGCATCTTTCCTAAATATCCTGGTGATATTATTGACAGTTCGCGAGTTACTTCTCCTGAGGCTGTAACAGATGGACCGGGCGTTCAGCCTATCGATATTCTTGATGATCATGTCAGAGTTTCTGGATCTGACTCACCCGTCTCGGTGGCATCTGAGCAACAGTTACCCGAACAGAAGGAGGCTCATAGATCTGACAATTTGGATGAGTACTCGGGAATTCAATTGCTCAATAGGAATGGTCCATCTTATACTCCTTTAGAGTTTGAACAGCAGCAAGGTCCTCCTGAGTTGCAAAAATTTTCTGTAAGGTTTCTCGCAATTGTAGCTTTTAAAAATTTCAAGGCAGATAAATACATTCAAAACTGACATGCGCATCTTTTCCAGCAGGCATATGATAATCATGGTAGTTATGACTTTCCGTATTTTACTCCTGCAATGGGTGAAAACCTACGAGGACAAGGATTACCATCTCCACTGGAGGTAATTTCTGTTTCTATTGTTACTGGTTTGCCAGCATGATTTTTCTTTAGGCTTCTCTTTGAGCAGTTGGTCCCTCTGCATGTGTCAAAGTTATCTTTTCATTTCATTATTAGCCAAGAAAAACTAATCAGGTATCCTTTTGCTAATGCAGCAGGCATTCAGCACTCACATGGTGAATAATGGCCCTTCATCTACGGTTCCCATGTTGCAGCAACAACAACAGGCATCAATGCAACAGATATACCCGCAGGTTCATGTTTCACATTTTCCCAATCTCATGCCTTATCGTCAGATTCTCTCCCCAGTCTATGTTCCCCAGATGCCCATGCCAGGGTACTCAGGTAACCCAACAGCATATGCACACCCTTCAAATGGCAATAGCTATGTGCTGATGCCTGGAGGCGGTTCTCATCTCGGTTCAAATGGTGTCAAGTATGGTATCCAGCAATTCAAACCAGTCCCGACAGGTGGGCCGACGGGTTTTGGTAATTACAGCAACCCTAATGGATATCAAATCAATTCTCCCAATGTAGTTGGAAACATGGGACTTGAAGATTCATCTCGCATGAAATTTAAAGATGGAAATATTTATGTTCCAAATCCTCAGGTAATGATGATAAGCATGTTCCTCTTGCCCGAACCTCAGGTTTTTGCCCTTTACGTTTTATTCTGATTCGTGCTTTTTCATCTGACACAACAGGCTGAGACTTCTGAGATTTGGATGCAAAATCCAAGAGATCTTTCAAGCCTTCAGTCTCCTCAATATTACAACGTAGCTGGACAAACGCCTCATGGTGCTTATTTGCCATCCCATACAGCACATCCATCCTTCAATGCTGCTGCTGCAGCAGCACAATCATCTCAAATGCAGTTCCAGGGTCTCTTCCACCCGCCACAGCCTGGTGCTATGGGGAATCCACACCACATGGGACCTGGGCTTGGTGGTAATGTTGGTGTCGGGGTCGTGCCCTCTCCTCCTCCGTCTCAACTTGGTGCTTATCAGCAATCACAACTTGGTCATCCGAACTGGCCAGCAAACTTCTGAACAAAATCTAACCTTTGTCTACTTATCTAATGGATCATAATAGCCAAAAGCAAATATTTTGATTCTCCTTGTGAAACGGCCAAAACTATGTTTTTTATGTTCTTCTTTTTTCAATGCATAAAATGTTCCTAGCTCTCAACCGGAATTCAATACATATGCTTGTCTGCTTCCATATCTCATCTTCTACAATTGCAGATATGGTGTTATCCTTGCAAATGGCACCAAAGTGTCAAGGTAAAGTTACGTCACTGCTTAAAATCCTTTACTGTTGCATAGTTTCGGATAAGACAAAGAACCCTATAATGCATGTGATTGTGTTTTAAGTGTGGAACCCTGTGGTTGAAACATTGGTGCTTGTTGCTAGTGTTTTCCCACTGTGAATGTTGTTAAGTATTAAAGAGAATTGAGAGTGTGGAATCTTCTTCTTCAAATCATGTGCCTTCTCTCTCAATTTCTTCATATTCCTTATCAAATAGAGAATCATTAGTTGTTGAGCTTGACCTAACTCTAGCCTTTAGAATATAAAACAACATATTCTTAATCAGAAAACTTGTTGAAGCTAAGCCTAAAGGTTTTGATTAGCTCCTTGATTACTTTTGGTTTTTTAGGTGCCATTGCACACTATGTCATCATAACAGCAGAATCTAATTGATCGTTTTGTTGACATATTTAGACAACTTAATACACTTAGTTTGGGGAGGTGGGTCTAAATCAAGGGGCCAAGTTGTTTGCTTAGTACGCATTGTGGCTGCTCCTCTAATTTAGTAGGCATAAGCTCTCTTATCTCCTAAGCCCTACGGCCCCTAGCTTATTGAGAAATGATTACTCCCTATGAATTTCTTCAACTCCATTATTTTGATCTTATTAATACTCTTTTTGTTTCACTTTGACCAGGATGTGGTTATTTAAACGTGGTTTTTCACTGTTGAGGTCACTCAATATTAATAACAGCTACCACACAAAAGCAAATTGTTGAGTTTGTGAAATGAGATTGTACTGAAAATTCTTAGCTTGGGGAGATTTTGTTAATTAAATTAATCTTGGTCAAGAGTGGCTAGAGACTTAGAGTAGAGTTTACCAGTTAGAATAGTGAGCAATTTTTGGTCTGGTCTTGACCCTATTCTATAAAACTATTGTAATTTAAGAAGAATTGGCAATTTAATTTGAAATTCTACCTTACAAGTCAAAAGGCCCCATGATTGGTTTTGGAGATTTATAAGCCATGACCTCTAACTCCATATACCACTTTAGTTGAATAAAGGCTTGTTTGTTGAATCACAAAATATTAATTTCTTCCAACAAATCATCAAAATTTGTTTAAATTTGAGATGTAATTTCTAATGTTGGAATTTTGTTTCTTCCTACAATAAAAGGTCCGAGACATGAAATGTCAAATCATAGATAGTGGAGTGATACAAACACTCATAGAGCACCATGTATGAGAAGTATATATTTTCTATCATTGCTTGGGCATTTAGGGGAAAATATTGATATCAAACGTTTCTCTTTAAGAGTTGGACCGTATGTGTGCTCTCTAGCTATTTGATTGAAATGGAATCTGCATTTGCCATTGCATGCACCAAACTCAATTATGATGTGATCGGAATCTTTTGTCTTTCTTTTGTCTATTATTTCCACACATGCGTGGAA